GCCCATGGCCTCACATTCTTCCTCCAAGACGCTCACTCCAGCTCCAGACTCTGAGAATAGCAGAGTCTTCTCCCTCTCTTCAACCCCTGGACCTGGCCTTGTCCACTCCATCAAAATCTCCTTACCAAGTCACCAGCCACATCTTCTGACTAAATCCCAGGGCTCTTTCCCCAGCTCATCCTCTGTTGGTTCTTCTCTGCGTCTTTGGCTCCCAGGACACAGCCTCCTCCATGTCCTCACTCCACTCTCTACCCTCAGCCATCATTGCTCTCCAAAGCCCCAGCTGTCCCTAACCATCCTCTCTTCATAGGCCATACCATCTCCCTGTACCATGTCATCCACAGTCCCCATGCCAACTACCATTTCTAAACCAAAGACTTTCAAATCCTCACCTCCCACCTCCAACCTTCCCCTCCCTCCACCCCCAGGTCCTGACCCATCTATGCAGAAGTCTCCCTATAATCTCCTCAACTTCTAGTCTGGCTTCCTGCCAAGCTATTCCCCGCTGCCCGCCTCATTAGATGGTCAGCATGGTCACTCTGGCAGCAGTGGAGGATGGCCTGGTGGAGGCCAGGAAGCCATTCAGGGCATGCTGACCCTCAAGCCTGTTGTCTTTCTATTGTCACAGCCCCGAGGTGTGGCCTGCCCAGGACTCAGGACACCTGAACCCATGCGTCAACCTCTGGCAAGGAGGCCCAAACTTGGAAGGAAGAGAGCCACGGAGAAGTCTGAAGCCCGGAGGCTGGCCTAGAATTGGGGATCAGAGCTCAGGGATCAGAGATGGCGGATCAGGCTGAACACTTCTGTTCCCAGCAGCCCCACAAGTGACCCTGGCCAAAGCCACAGGACTTCCCCATGTTCTAGCCAATATGGGTCACACAGAGCTTAACCACCAAGACAGACAATAGCCAAGGCTCACAGAAAGCTGGTGATTATGTGTCCTCATCACACCCACTCTCTTCCCCCGCCAAAAAAGAAGAATTCATAAACATCCGTAGGAAAAGAAAGTCTGTCCCACCCCATTGCCTCTCAGGAAGTCCCTCCTGTTATCTCACTGATCCTCCATGTTGCCAAGTTAAGTAAGAATAACTAGAACAAGATGAGAGGATGGGGCCACCAGAGAGGTGGGGGAGGCCAACTGTGAGCCAGACAAGCCCCCTCCCTCTGCGTGAGAGCATGGAGCAGCAGAGGGGCTTTGTGGGCAGATAGGTCTGGGTTCAGAAGCTCATCGACTGAATGTCAGTGGACAAATTACTTAATCTTCCCTTGTCTATTTCCTCATCTGTGAAATGGGAACAACAGTCCCTACATTAATAGGATCATTCAGAGATCCAAAGGAGAGCATGCATGTGATGCCAGACACATACCAGACACCCGACTGGTCAGGCTAATGGGCTCCACCTCCTTACTCATGTTTCTCGGTTCCATCCTCTACACAGCCTTCATTCAGAGTTCGCCTTCTCTAGGCTCCTCCTCAGGCTCCTCCCTGGTCTCCCTGCTTCTAGGCCTGCTCCTCCCATTCACTCTCCTTGACATTGCCAAAGGCCCCCTCTGAAATGCAGATCTGCTCCCATCCCTCTCCCTCGCTAGCCTCTCTGAATCACCATGGACTTTGGGAGAACTGCCTTTCTCCTTAGCTTTGACATTCCAGCCTGTTGATGACTGGCCTGTGTTTACCCCTTAAGGCTCAACCAACATCCCAGCCCAGCCCGCAAGCTACACATGTTGCTTCATGCCTCCAAGCCTTCACACATTCTGCACCCTCGGCCAGGAATGACATCCCCAATCCCTCCCCCTTGGCTTCTTCATCCTTCCAGATGAAGCTCAGTAGTTCCATAGCTTCCCAGGAAAGCTTCCCTCACTGTATTCCACCCCCCACCCCCCCACACACACACAGAGACTGGGTTGGGGACTCCTCTTTAGCCTCCCACAGTACATGTCACCCTGCATTATAATCACCTGCTCTGCTCTAAATTCTTTGGGGACAGAATGGAGTCATTGATCTTGAACTCCCAGCCCATACCACTCAGTCAACTTTTGTTGAATGGATGCGCGATTGCTCTCAGAGCTCTTCGTAAAAGCAGTCAGCTTACTACCCGCCCTGCAATGAGTCCTATCCAGGTATTTATCGCATCCCCTCTTTCCCCCTTGACCCCGGAAGTTCCTAGAAGGCAGTGACAGTTTCTGACTAATTCCCATCATCACTTTCATATGGCGGGGTGCAAATCCGGGTGCAGGGATGGATACGATGACTCCTGATCTTTAGAGTATTGGGTATTTGCTGTTTCCTCATCTAAGTCCAAGATAAATCAGAGTCCCATGGCTTATGGAACAAGGCAAGGTACAGCCCATTATCGATTTTGCCTTTCTCTTTGAAATTACTCAGGAAACCTGTCTGGAAGGGAGACGGAGGCCTCCTGGGGCTGCAGGAAAGATTGAGAGGGGAGCAGGGCTACTGTTGGGTGGAGTATAGCCAGGTCTAGGTTGCAGGCTTCAGGCAGCACCTCTTGCCCTGCCCAGTGAATTCAGTAAACACAGGAGAGCCCTGAAAAATTTAAGTGTTAATATTTTCAATTTACAGATGGGAAAACTAAGGTCCAGAAAGGTGAAGACAATTGCCCAAGGTCCCTAAGGTTCCTCAGTGAGTTAGAGGCAGAACGGTGCGGGGAGGGGGTCATGGAAAAGGTTCCAAAGATAGGGTCTCCAATAGATGCCTGGCTGCTCATGGTAGTTCCACCCTGCTGACAACCCATGGCAACAGGGGACCAATGGCATTCCTCCCCAAGTCACAGAGAAGCAAGCCAAGGCCCAAGAGTCGCTCTGATGGCGAAGCAGCACAGGAGGAACGAAGGACAGGAGCAAGGGCTCCTGACTCCCCACAGGGAGACAAGTCCAACCTCAATGGCCAGGGAGATCTTGGCTTTGGGTGACATGGCTATGGTGGAGAAGAGAGTCACACAATCTCCTGCTGAGGACGGAGACCCGCTCACAGTGCTGGCCAGCAGACTGCAGTGGAGACTAGCCATCAGGTACATGCAGATGCCTCATGATCTTCCAGAGCATCCCCACCAGCCTGGGCCTCCACACAGAGCAGGGCAGCCCACCCTGGCCTCAAACTTAGGGTCCACAAGGGCATGGCAGTGCGTGAGGGCAAGTCACAGAGAAACGGTTGGAATGGGCTCTAGCCTCAGCCCTGCCTCTTGACCTTAAGCAAGTCGGGTAACCTGAGTTCTGGTTACAGGGCAGCCCACTCTGGCCTCAAACTTAGAGTCCACAAGGGCATGGCAGTGCGCGAGGGCAAGTCACAGAGAAACGGGCGGAATGGGCTCTAGCCTCAGCCCTGCCTCTGATCCCTCCTGACCTTAAGCAAGTCGGGTAACCTGAGTTCTGGTTCCTCTTCCAGAAGGCAGAGGAAAATTAATCTTGAAGAGCTGAACAGCTGGGAAGCGGTTTCTAAACCTTAGGAGCACAAGTTACATCTGAGCCTCAATTTCTTCTTCCAGAAAATGGGAATAATCTCTGGAGGACCTTTCTCATGCTGTTGAGAGTGTCAAATGGCAGTGGGTGTGAAATTGCTTTGTCAGTGGTCTCGAAACATGACAACCACTGGGGCTGTTTCTCCCTAGTCTGTTAGCTTCCTCAATGTACATCTTTGACCCCCATACTATGTGTAGTACACAGTAGGCACTCAATAAATAATTACTGGAAGCAGCGAGTGACAGAGGAAGCATAGAGAGAGGGAAGCGAGAAGGGAGGAGTGGAGCACAAAGATAGGAGAGAGGATAAAAAGAAAAATGCAAATGAGGGCGTTGTAGAAGGTATAAGAGTAGGAGATAAAGGAGAAGCTTCTATCAAAACTTAAGGAAGTGGGTAAACTGAAGAGGCAGATCTAGAGTGACAAAACTGAGCACCTAACCAGGGCTATCTCCAGGGTTCTCCCTTCCCTGGCTGCAGCCCCCTCCCCCTTTTTGTCCCAGTTTCCCATTTCAGAGGCATAGTATCTTCCTTCCTGAGTCAAGGCAGGCTCCTAAGAAGACAGGAGCCCCTCTCGCCGTCCCCAGCTCAAAACAGTTCCTGGCCAGCCACCCAAAGCCTAGGGAGTCCAAGGGGAAAGGAAATACAATGGGTAGGATGCAGTTTTCCCAGGCTCCAGGGGGGCTCCCACCCTGTGTGGTATGTGTGTTTCCACTTCTCGCCATGCAGGGACTGGAGTGTGTCAGCGGCCCCAGGGGCTCTTAGCTTGTGACAATGTGGTGCCAGTTTGTGTGGGCATTAGTTTGATTCGTGTCTGTGGGGGGTCATTGTTGGTGTGATCTTGCAAACAATGTGTTAATGAGATATGTGCCAGCACATGTGATCATTGTCAGTAAGTGTGACAACGTGTGTGCGCCAGTAACTGTTACAGCGAGTGAAAGTGACAGTGTATGTGTATCACTATAGACCAACATGTGTGTGCCAGCATGAAGGTGTGTTAGAGTTGATGTGTGTTGGAGTGTGACCTGTGTATGCCCACATGACTGTCAGCAAGAATATGTTGAAAAGTGTATACCAGTGAGTATGTGTCGCTGTATATGATGAGTGTGTGGCAATGAATGTCAGTGTGCGTGCCAGCATGAGCATGCCCATGGATGAGTGTGCCCGTGTGTCCACATGAGTGTGTGTGCCATTGTGTCAACCTGCCCCCCCGCCCCACACACACACCCGTGCAGATCTGCGTCTGCTGGCCAGTGCTGGGTGTCAGCGAGTGAATGTGTGTGAGTGTGTATCGGCGCCAAGGAGCCAGGAGCCAGATGGGACAGCCGGTTCTCGTCTCCCGGTACCCCGCCCACGGCTCCAACAGACCACACGGAAGACCTCTGAGGCAGAGGAGAGCTGGATGCCGCCGAGCCTGGCGTTGGGGTGACTGCGAACGCAGAGCCAGAATGCGGACTAGAACCCCTGCCCGTGCCCTCACCCAGGTCGCCCCACACGCACCCGGCCGGGCCACCGCCCGCACTCACCGTGTCCCTTTGTCGCCCATGGTCCGAGGCGGCCGCAGGGAGGTCCGCGGCGTCAGCGCCCAGGCTGGAAAATCCCCGGCGGGCAGGAGGAGCGCGGGCCAGCCGGCTGCCGGCTCCCTGCTCCGCCTCCTCCGCTCT